TCATAGTCACATTAGTCAGGCTACTGCAAGCCACGGCAACACAGATCATATTTCCCAGGCCAGTTCATCCATTTGCAATGCAAATTCCATCCATTTAACTCATACACAGAGGAAGGATGGGCAGTGATTAAGGCACAAATCTGGAGACCCAGGTTCAATTCTCTGCTCTGCCACAGGCTTCCTGGACATGTCATTTGAGGACCTGGTCACATTAGTCAGGCTACTGCAAGCCACGGCAACACAGATCATATTTCCCAGGCCAGTTCATCCATTTGCAATGCAAATTCCATCCATTTAACTCATACACAGAGGAAGGATGGGCAGTGATTAAGGCACAAATCTGGAGACCCAGGTTCAATTCTCTGCTCTGCCACAGGCTTCCTGGACATGTCATTTGAGGACCTGAGGCACAGGAGGCTGTCTGCTAAGACACATTCCCAGGGTGTTGTGACACACTTGCTTACTGTGGAGCCAGACATGTAGATTAGCTGCAGTAGAGTGGGCCAAGAGGTACAAACTCTGGCTCCCAATATAAGCATTCCCAATTATCAGAATCACCTGGATTTCAGTTTACCCCACTGTCAAGTTGGAAGCCAGGTGCAAATTTCAGGCCCCTGGCCCAAAAAAGATTCCCCATGCCTGATTTAGACACTCAGGTGCTACGTTACCAAAGCGGCCTCAAAATTGGACGTGAAGTTTTACATGCCTACATTTGAATCACATAAGAGCTCTGACATAAGCATGAGACGGTAGGGGGTGATAGCAATTTGTCACAAGACAAATGGACAGAGGCGATCAAACCCCCTAAATAGTCTGAAGCCCCCCCCCCTTCCCTTCCCTTCCCTGGATGACCATTTACTTTCTTTTGAGAGATTCCTGAGAGGGTTTGTCTCTTATTTACACCTCAACCACGCTTGAATGGCTTGTCAAGTCAAGAAAGTCTCTCTGAATTCAGTAGGCTCAGAGAGGTTGCCGTGTTTCTCTGTAACTTTAAAAACAACAAGTAGTCCTGCGGCACCTTAGAGACAAACTATATATATATTCATTCTTGAGTGGAGAAAAAAGGAGGACCCTCAGAATAAGAAGGAAGAGGGAGAAAAACATTACCTGTCAATTGTAGTCCTGGTGTTAATGAGGCTAACTGAGGCTATGTCTACACTATGGAGCTATTTTGGGATACCATTGGTATCCCAAAATAGCTATTGTATGTCTTAAGAGCAAGTCTGTTATATTGAAATATAACAGGCTCGCTATTCCAACATCCTTGTAAACCTCATTGCTCATGGGTTAAGGGACATTTCGGAATAACGCTTTATTTCAAAATAAGCTATTTTGAAATTACCTTGAAACAAGTTACGCAATTTGCGTAGTGCAAATTGCATAACTTATTTTGAGGTAAGGGTGCTGTGTAGACACATCCTGAGTGGGTTGGACATGTTCTATACTTAGCTTTTGATGTCAATAATCACATTCAGCATGGTATCAACATCAAAAGCTAAGTATGGGACACTTCCAGCCTACTCAATTAGCCTCATTAGCACCCGGACTACAATTGACAAGTAATGTTTTTTTCTCCCCTTCTCCCTTCTTATTGTTAGGGTCCCCCTTTTTTTTTCCACTCAAGATCATCTCATCTGAAGAAGTAGGTTGTGCCCACAAAAGCTCATGATAATATATCTATATCTATATCTGTTAGGACTACTAGTTGTCATTAAACTCACTATGGTTGAAAATGGATTTTGCATGCCTCAGATGGGGGCAGTCGGTGCTGGGCTCCCTTGGCTCTGGGTCCTATGCAGTTTGCATGTGCAATTCAGATTGTTTGCACATGCACAAGCCTCTTATGACTGAGGTACCCACGGTTGAAGGCCTTCTGGAAATCTGGCCCCATGGTGCAAACTACAGTCAAGCTCATGCCTAGTGTTGAGCAAACGGCTGTAACTGAACTGAACTAACACACACAGCCAATGTCGCTTCACTTTCTGTTCTCATGACCTATTTTGTGGGCACTGTGAGGGGTGGAGAGAAGTGTGATAGCATTCTGAATTGTTTCTCAGATGTTCCACTTTACCTGTCCCATGATCGAGATGCTTCGGAGATGAATCATTCGCTCAGATGAATCAACGTTTACTCGGAAGGAGGTTTCAGGCTGAAAGATGACATCGTCGTACTGGCATGGCACACGTTCTTCATCCACTGCAAAGATGTAGTTGCCCTGTTCTAGGTCCTCCAAGGAAGTTGCAGCATGCCATACTGAGGGGTCATACCACCTATACCTCTCAGCATCAGTGAAGGAGACAGCTGAACCTGGGAAGAAAGACAAAGGGTAAGGAAGGGTAAGGTGAGAGCTAGACTTGGAGCCAGTCTCCCTGCCCTGAGACATTTCTTTCAGTTCTCTCATAGATCTAAAAAGTGTGAATGTCCAGAGTGAAAGCATTAACAGCATGTAGTAGGAACTAAGAGCTACTCTCTGTTCACCCCCACCAGGATAACAGCAGCAGTCACTACCTGAACACTGGCCAATGCTTTGCAGAGCCAGACAGGTGGCTTCTATCGTCAGGATGCCTGTGTGCCAGTATGCTAAGGAAGCATGGAATCCCCCTCTGGCATCAGACAGATGCTTCTGAATCTCACCTTTCTTTTTAAGTTGTGTTTCCAGCTTTCGTGGTTATGACAAAAACCTTGACAAGATTAATTGATTGCAACGAGTGCAATAATGTCTGTCTGAGTCTGCAGGCAGCTGGAAACAAGAGCTCTGAGAGATGCGCCCTGCTCCATTAAGTTCAGTGTGTTATTTCTGAAACCTAAAGATGGTAATAGAAATTAAATGAAATTTTGCATGGTGGATCATTTTAGTGGGACCATCAGGCAAGTGTGTTTAATCACACAATCCCAAACTTCCTCACACATTTCCCTAGCTGAATTTAATAGCCAAGCAAATTACACGGGAGTTACTACTGTCTTGTTTTGATATTTGTATTTATGTTTTATTAAAATCAAATTTTATTTTAAGTGAAGCTGCCACAGAATTGCCAGATGGATTCAATGGTATGCCACAGCCTCCAAAGACCATGCTGCAAATTTTAGGGTGAGCTCAAAATGGAAATGGTCTTGGATATAATCCATAATACCTGTTAGGCAGCAAGAAGCTGAAAAACTGCAGCTGCACTTGCCCTGTTAAGATTGCCCTTGATACCACTGGTATTGAATCTGTATGGGCCAGAAGCTGAAATCCCTCCTTCATTTTTCCATAGAAAAAAATCTCAATGAAGTTAATGAGCATAATCTGTTTGCCTTTGTTCTCTGTGCACTGCACCTGTAAGTCATTAGAAACTTTCCCAGTGTGCAGAGGCTCTGTCTATTTTGGTCTCAGGGCAGCTACAGCCAATCACAGTGGAGACACACACTGCGCTGTATCATGATGGCCCACTGGTTCTTTTCTTGTTTTCCTGATTCTAAATTAAAAGTCACTTTATTCTGAAAGTGGTTTTTTGGCTGTTAAGTATGAAAAAAAACTCACATGGGACTTGGCTTCAGTGCAAACTGAAAGACTCTTAGGATCCTGTCACATATTAATAGCCACTCCTAAAACAAAACCTGCTCAACAGCCTACAGACACTTGAAATGTAAATTTAGATTAACAGGAGGTAGATGATACTTTATTATTGAAATGCACTTGCATAAATACTAGATGGGCCAGATAGCTATCTCCTCCCAGTGTGTGTGGTGCAGCTCAATATAACAAGGAGGATCAGGTGTAAATTCACAACCAAGCTCCCCCTTCTCCTCCAATAGTCTGAGCATGTTGAGAATGGGGACTTTGATTTGGGTCCCAGATTTAATGAATATGAGGAAAGTACAACATCCCCCTTTCCCTTATTTAAAGCTTTTCTTTCGATGTCTTTTCTGGGCCTTTGATGGAAGGCAGGTGATCTAATGAAAAAGGTCTGATGTGGCCCTTGGCTACCCGACCACTTACTTTGGTATAACTTACGTCACACGTGGGTGTGAATAAGCTACACTACTAAGTGCCAGTGTAGACAGCAGCGCTATGTTAGCAGGACAGCTTCTCCGTCAACAAAGCTACCACTTCTCATGGCAGCGGCATTATTATGCCGACTGGAGAGTCTCCCATCCACACAGAGCGTTTGTACTAGGAGTACTACAGCGGGGCAGCTGCACCCGATAGCACTTCTAATGCAGACGACTAGCCCATGGAGAAGGGCACCAGGGGAAGGCAGATGCAACACAAGAATTCTTTATTCCATTGTATGTCCCATAATTAAAGCCCACACTGGCATCTTCGTGTTGAATTTACATGGCTAATCAACAACAGATTGGGCACATGGTACCTGTGTCACAGCCTGGATCCCAGCTGCCGTCAAAAGCTGCAAATCCTGCACCAGGTGCCATAATGAACTCTCCGGTCAATGGAAGGTACTAAACAAAGGGATTCAAAGGGTTACAGTTTGGACCTACACTCAGCCAGACATGCTTATGACCAATTCATGACACCAATCCTTCCAAGCTCTATGCCACTTGCCCTTGCCAATGTGTGATACAAACACAAAGCAGTTGCAGTCCACATCTGAGCACCCCGCTGGGAAGTCCCAGCATCACCATTGTACAAGTGGAGACGCTACCATATGGAGAGGTGCTTTATTTTATCTTGCCATACCTAGGAAGCAGGTAAAGTGAGTTCAGAAGCGAAGCAAGCAAAAAAGCCCTCCTAACTGAATACATTGCCTCTACCTGGTGCCACTACCTTCCCCCCTTTGTCTCTGGGTATGGAGAATGCTGGGTTAGCTACTTCACAGGAACAGCCCTTGGCTGTATGGCCACTCCGCAGCTGAGCCCTTCATGAGGAGAGGGGCTGGCCTACCAGCATTCCTAGCCAATAACTGCCCCACCCTGGGCCTGATCTTCCAAAGGCCTAGGCAGCCTCATCTCTCACTGGACACCACGGAGTTTCAGGGGGCTTGGTTGGGCCATTGTGTGCTTATTATTCTGGCTTTGGCATTAGCCCATACAATGCCTCCCCATTTGGCACTAGGGTATATCATTCCTTCCCTTCCTCAGCTCACGCTTTGCCTATCCCCAGAAGGAGCCCTAGCACAGACCTCGCTGGCTAGTCGTTAGAATAGCAGCATTTGCACTGACTGAGCTGTGCAAGGCTTACCCCTCCTTGCACTGGTTGCAACTGGCTGCTCTTGGGAACGTGCAAACACATCAGCATCCTGATACAGCCCCACCGATGCTCTGCTCATGCCTGTGCTCCACGAAAGGTAGCCAGGATGGAAGTGGAATTAGAAGGCGGGGAGAGGAGAGGGTGCGTACAGAGGATGTGGAGACACATTTGCATCTCTGTTTGCCTCATACAGAGCAGGGATTAGACCCCATGACTCTCATGTAAGTGATCTAACACCAAGCTCTGGGACTGGGGCTCTTTCAATCACTTCTATTGAGCCTGTTCCCCTTTGTAGCAATAACGAAAAGTTCCTTAGTGCAGCAACTTGACCCCAACTCTCCCCCCATGCCAGCTGAGTGTCTTGAGCGCTGGGTGACAGAGTCAGGCTCTCACTGTGGGTGTGTTTCTCCTCACCCCCGGACTATTTTACTCTTTATGCAGCGTGAAATAGTTCCGAGAGAAGAGACTCAGAGACACCAAGTGGAGGTATGAGGCACCTTCCTCCACCTTGTCAGTCCGATGACCAAGGTCCATAAAGAGAAGAGACCCAGAGACACCAAGCGGAGGTACGAGGCACCTTCCTCCAGCTTGTCAGTCCGATGACCAAGGTCCATATCAGTGGGAGTCAGGCATTAACTCCTTTACAAATCAAAGCCCTAAGCCCCACCCCTCTCCAGGGACGTCCTTAGGCTTTATGTGCGCAGTACTATTGAACCGGTGTCCCTGTGCCTCATGGCAGCTGGGAGGGATGGTTTTTTAAAATATGTGATTGCATAACCTTCACCAACACAGTAATGAAATATTTTAAAAGCAAATTTTATACCAAGATCCCATTGATGAACACAGAGAACTCTAACACGAACACTAAATTCAGAAAGTAACCCTACATACCTGGGGTTGGCAAATGGCTTCGTTATCACATGAAAGGCTCTTTCACAGGCTGAGTGTTCTGCTAACAGCTCTGGCAGGCTTTTTCATTTTTAAGTTAACTGGGTCCTCTCTGCCTGGAGGCAGCAGAGCCACAGAGCAGGGATAGGAAGGGGAGGGGGTGGATAGACATTAAGACTCAGTGGTGCCCCAAATTTTCAGATGCCCTACCTTGCTGCATATTCTGCGTACAGATAAGGATGGCCCTGCCTCTTTCCTTTGCATCTCACACCTGCCTAGCTTGGGCAGCTCCCCATCCAACTTTAAGAATCCCTTTGCTAAATCCCTATCTCCCCCCCACCACCACCTAGGGAGCCTAGGCACCACTTTAATCCTTCCTCAAAGGACTGGTGCAACTACTTTCACAACCAGCCCACAATGGCTGAGTCCAGGATACTCCTTAGTGCAAACAAGGTGTGAGGGATTAGTAAATAATAGCCAAGTGACTCATTCCTAACATAATTTATTCAAACAAGTCACCTCATTTTCCATTCACAAATTGCCCATGAACAGGCTGGAATTTCCCCCTGTGTATCTGATGTTCTACGAAGTGGTTACTTTCCCATGCTCCTGCTCCTGAATTGGAACGTGAAGGGCCTGAATACTCTGAAATATTCACTTAGAATCCATGGTTGTACGGAACTTTCCTGCCCAAAATCTCATGCGCCACGGAACGTTCATAAGATCAGGGCAAAACTGGCATTAACACAACATTGAAATAAACACTTACTAAGGTTTGGACTTTGTAGTATTACTCCTGCTCCAGGAAACGTCACTGAAACATGTGAGCAGCTTGCACAGTTATTACCCTGAAGGGAAGGCCTACAAGAAGTGACCCCTCCATGTTGAAATCACCAGTCAGCTGCATCCATGTTGCAAACAGAGTTTGGAAAGATCAGGGTTCAGATCCCTGGCTATCATAAATAGACTGGGAAATGTATGTTGTCCATGGGGGAGGGGGAGGGGGAGTGTGTGCCAAGCTTGGCCTAGAGACCTACAGGGACCACACAACCTCTTTTTCGCATGGGGAATTCCAGATGGGGGTCTTTAGCACCTGGGCAGGAGAACCTGCTGACGTTACATATGTGGCTTGTCCCATGCTCCCTAGAGGGACTGTAGCACTTTATAGACCTCTACCAACACCCCTGCACATACAGGCTAAAAATAAAGGCTGGAATATTCAAAGCCAGGGGACGCATACTCATCCAGGGCAGTTGGGGTTGTGCAGAAACTGATAGGGAAACCAGAGAAGTATGACGCAGTGTACAATCTTTCACCACCTCCCTACGATGCTCACAGTCTGGACAGGCTCAGTGCTGGCAGCTCTACAAACCCTAGACCTGACGTAACATGGAAAGGGAAGCACTGGTGTAAGGAGACATGTGCTCTGCAAAACCCAGAGGGAAACACAAAGGGAATCTTTTCTTCCTCATATCAGCCCATTAGCATGATAGCAGCAATTTCTGATGATAGCTATTCTCGATCCTGAAAACACACATGTGTTTAACGTTAATCATAAGGTGACCCGCTGAAGTCACTAGAACCACTCACAGACTTAACAAAGCATATGCATAAGTGTTTTCAGGACTGGGGCTTAAGCAAGGTATCACTTACGTGGCCACTCTCAGAAGGCAGCTCAGCTACATGTCAGACACAATGTCAGAGCTTACTGCAGAGAACAGAACTGGCATTTCCATTTGGAAACTATTTTGTCTGATGGTGGCATTTGGTACAGAAATTGCATATAGACCAGGCTACTTCCAAGATTCACTTTGAACTGAGCAATGTCATGTGTGCCAAAGGACTGGCTCCAATAAATCAGTTATGTCAGCTGCCCTCTGTTCCTGCCAAAGAGTGTGTGGAGGCCAGCACTATGAAGAGAGCAGTAGTATTTATAGTATTGGCATTTTTTCTCCTCGGCTTTTGTCCAAGAACTTATTTTTTCAGTCTCTATTATGAAATGTAATGACCACTGACCTGTTTTCAGGACAACTCCATAACCCAAAGCTGTGTCTACATTGGCGTGATCTTGCACCAACACGGCCGCTTTTGCGCAAAAACATGCTGCCTGTCTACACCGGTGGGGAGGTCTTGCGCAAGAACACTGACGTTCTCATGTGTGAAATCAGTGCTTCTTGCGCAAGAACTATGATGCTCTCGCTCAGGAATAAGCCCTCTTGCGCAACTGTTCTTGCGCAAGAAGCCAGTGTAGACAAGCAATATGAATTTCTAGCGCACGAAAGCCTGATGGCTAAAATGCCAATCAGAGCTTTCTTGTGCAAGAGAGCATCTACACTGGCATGGATGCTCTTGCACAAAAGCACATCTCTTGCACAAAGGCACATGCCAGTGTAGACACTCTCTTGCGCAAATAATTTAATGCAAGAACTCTTGCGTTAAAGAGTATTTGCGCAAGATCATGCCAATGTAGACACAGCCTAAGGCTGTCTACACACTGGCATGTGTTGTCATCACAATCTGCCTTTTGGCACTACAACACAACTTTTGTTGGGAAAAACACCCAGCTTTGGTGACAAAAAACTTCTAGCCCCGCAAGAGACTTTTATCTTTTCCCCTCCCTTTATTGTTGACAAAAAGCCAGTGTGGACTCTGCTGTTTGTTTAGTTAAGAGAACTGGCATCTGCCTGTATCCCACAATGCCTGCCCACAATGCCTGCTGTACTCAATGTTTTGTGATCTCTGCTGCCCTGCAAGCATGCACCCTTCGCCTCTCAAAGCTCCGGTAACTATCTGACATCTAAGTGAATAGCTCCATTTGGGGAACAAAGAGCAAATAAAAGGACTGCTCCTGTTCTGTCCTGTACTAGAAACACAGCATTTGGAGAACAAACAAAGAACAAATAATTGGAATGTTCCTTCCCTGTCTGCCCTGCTAGGAACACAGTGGCAGGCAGACTGCTGCTGCAGGGGAAGAGGTGGAAAGACTGCTGTGCTACTTTGACATTCCTCAGCAGGGAGAGCTCACAGAGAAGCTCTGCCTTCCTACAACACTGCACTCTGTGGGATGCTTACCTACATTGCTTTGTTCTGTCAACAGGGTGCTAGCAGTGTGTCTGTGAAATGTCGACAATGGGAGGCAGAAAAACTGGTTTGACCAATTTTCACTTTTGGCAACTTTTGCATGCTTATAGCACTTTTGTCACCAAAACTTCCCAGTGTAGACATACCCTAAGCATTGCAGCACAGTGTTAATGCCTGAGAACCAGGAAGTCAAACCACTAGAAATTGTTCATAAGCAAAAACAACACTGTTATTAGAATGGGGGTGTTTGGGGAGGGGCTGAGAAACAAGCAACTGAAATGAT